CTCATGGATCAACAGAAAATTATATAGGCTGCAAATGATGTAAAGGACAATGGGGACAAACCTCTTTAAATGTCTTGCTGATTCCATATTGCCAGCTTCTACACTCTGTATTGGTCCTAACATACTTCAATATAGCCTCCACAAATGGTGCCACTTGTTGAGATTCTATCGATCCACGGATGAAAAAAAGACTTCCCACGTTTGATGCTACAAATCTCCTGCATAGTGTACTTGATCAGACATTACAAAAAGCAAGAAGTCACACACATATGAAAGCAAAAAAAACTGAGCCTAGATCCATGCCATGTTAGAAGAGACTACTTAACATGCTCAATCTGCAACATCAGACTGAAAAAGGTTTAACACTTTTAGTTTGGTTTGGTACATAAGAACATTTTCATGTTAAAAAAGCATTTAACTAAGCTATCATATAATACAAAACTTGGATATAAGAAAAAAGTTCACTTTCGACTTAATTGCAGAAAAAAGAGCTTAAATTTGCCAAGTCTCTAGTAGCTACCTTTTGAAAGTTTATGCACAATTAAGGCGTCGAAAACAAGTCTTTAATCACACCTTAATCAATTCTTTCAATGGAAAAGAATCAGAAAAACACATGTGCTTCCTTGAAAACGAAAATCCATGATAGTTACATCCATAACAAACGAATCTATGATTTCATTATCTAATTTTGATTCTCTATAAACCAACCAATAATAACCCACCTTATCAAGCTTCTAGACCAGAAAAAAAAAACTCTTTTTAAGCCTAACCCAAACTAATTTGCTGGTCTCAGTCACATAATTTCTCAGTAGTTAAGCCTTCCTCCATCCATGACCAAACTCTGTCCCTTTTAATAAAAACCAGGTTTCTCCAATCCATTAAAACTACAATCCCAAAATAATATGATCAGTTATCAAATCATACAACTACAAGTCAACAAAGAAAAACCAGAAACCAAACAACATAACAATCGTGTTAACCACAAAAGGCAAAACATAAAACATTATTATTTGTGAGAGTTTAATGAACAACAAACAACCAACTAAAGAAAAATCTCAAACTTTAGTACAAAAGAAGCAATTGTGAAAAAGTACTAACTTATTAAAAACTTGAGTAGTGACTGATCACTTCCCTGCAAAGTCACCTTCAAAAACGAGTACAGAAAACTATAGAGACATCTCGGACCAAGAAACCCAAGTAACTGAGAAACAAACATAAGTTCCACAACCAACAAGAACAGCTACGGTACGAGATTTATCTCACTATTTAATCGCCGTATGGACCCATTCTCTTTCATTACAATACGAATCATGAAATTGTTCTTTGCTTTTTCAGTTTCAGGTTAAATTGAGAAAATTTGGGTTTTTTTAGTAAGAAAGCTTTAAAATTTCTTTGTGCATGGAGGATCACAAGCAAACCCATTTCACTGACGCTACATAATCAGAATCAAAAACCCCAATCGAATGGAGAAATTTGCTATGCAAATCGATCATATACACTTCTCTAATACAGGTTTTGAAAGATAAATAATAGAGGTTAAACCGGATGTGAAATACATTAATTTATTGATAACCGGATTGGTTTTCCTGTACCGGAGATTACTTATGAGTACCGAAAGCTCACAGTGAATAATGGAAACGGCGATGATCAGGAAGCAAACGAACGACCGAGCAGCCACTCGCCGCCGTCCAAAACTATGGCAAAACTGCACAAATTTCCGGACTTTGAAGCAGATTCATGCTTTTATGGTCGTTAATGGCCTCATGTCTAATCTTTCCGTTGTCGGAGAGCTAATTTACTCGGCTTCTTTGTCGGTTCCGGGTGCGCTAAAGTATGCCCACAAGTTGTTCGATGAAATTCCTAAACTAGACGTATCCATCTGTAACCATGTGATGCGCGGCTCTGCTCAGAGTATGAAGCCTGAAAAAACGGTTGCTTTGTATACCGAGATGGAGAAACGAGGAGTGAGGCCTGATAGGTATACGTTTACGTTTGTTCTCAAGGCGTGTTCGAAGCTTGAGTGGAGAAATAATGGTTTTGCGATTCATGGGAAAGTGTTGAGACATGGGTTTTTGTCGAATGAGTATGTTAAGAACGCTTTGATTCTTTTTCATGCTAATTGTGGTGATCTTGGGATTGCAAGTGAGCTTTTTGATGATTCTGCGAAAGCTCATAAGGTTGCTTGGTCTTCTATGACTTCTGGGTATGCTAAGAGAGGGAAGATAGTTGAGGCGATGCGGCTTTTCGATGAAATGCCGGACAAAGATCAGGTAGCTTGGAATGTGATGATTACTGGTTGTTTAAAATGTAGGGAGATGGATACAGCAAGAGAGCTTTTTGATAAGTTTACAGAGAAAGATGTTGTGACTTGGAATGCAATGATCTCTGGGTATGTTAATTGCGGGTACCCTAAGGAGGCGCTAAGAATATTCAAGGAGATGAGGGATGCTGGCGAACACCCAGATGTTGTGACGATACTGAGTTTGTTATCTGCTTGTGCAGACTTAGGAGACTCAGAAACTGGGAAGAGCCTTCATCTCTACATCTTGGAAACGGCTTCAGTTTCGAGCTCCAAATATGTGGGCACTCCTATTTGGAATGCTCTGATTGACATGTATGCAAAGTGCGGAAGCATAGATAGAGCAATTGAAGTGTTCAGAGGAATGACAGATCGGGACTTGTCTACGTGGAATACTTTGATAGTTGGTTTGGCTTTGCATCATGCGGAGGGATCAATTGAAATGTTTGAAGAAATGCAAAGGTCGAAAGTCTGGCCAAACGAGGTGACTTTCATTGGAGTTATATTAGCTTGCAGCCATTCGGGGAGAGTTGATGAAGGGCGTCTATATTTTAGGCTTATGAGGGATACGTATAATATTGAACCAAACATAAAGCATTATGGTTGTATGGTAGACATGCTGGGGCGAGCAGGGTTATTAGACGAAGCAGTCATGTTTGTGGAGTCGATGGAGATTGAGCCCAATGCCATTGTATGGCGAACTCTTTTAGGAGCATGTAGGATTTATGGGAATGTCGAGTTAGGAAAGTATGCAAATGAGAAACTGCTCAGTATGAGGAAGGACGAGAGTGGCGATTATGTGTTGCTCTCCAATATATATGCTTCCACAGGTCAGTGGGACGGGGTGCAGAAAGTAAGGAAGATGTTTGATGATACAGGAGTGAAAAAACCGACTGGATACAGCTTGATCGAGGAGGGCAATGACAAATTGATGATGCAATATCTACTTTCGTCAGAACCTAAGTCAAAACCAAAAGGTTGGATTTGTTAAGGTAAAAATCCAATGCTTCATTGGCTAATGATGGACAATATGAATGGATAGTTTCCTGCAATGATGATAAATTAGATCGATTCTTTCCCATTTTTTGTTCTCTGGGTTTCCGAGCTTTCAACTTATAACTCTGAACTGGTAAAGGCAAACAACTTGATATCCATTCTATGTTCTAAGAGACTGAGTAGTGCGTTTGATAGGAAGGAAGTTTCCACTCCAATGTTTACACTCTAACTTCAAGATGATCCTTTGCAGAATTATTGTGTAAATGTAACATTTAAGTAACATGTTAATATTCAGCTATTGATAAATTTAGCTTTTGACCTTTTGTTCTTGTCATCTAATATGGTAATTTCATGATTCTGGATAGATTATGAAGAACACTGAAATGGAGAAGGATAAGATATTGTGGTAAGTTGGTAACTGATGCTTAAACACACAATTTTTGACAGTACATAGATTACAAAGAAATAAGAATTGGAGATGAGAAAAGAAAAACCAGAATTGGAGAGGAAAAACAGATACGAGGATACACAAAGCTCAAGTTCACATTTTTACACACGAAACCATGTATTTCTTTAAACATTGGAAACGAAATCTTGTATTTCAGGTTGAGACAGGATGGTCTTCAATGACGTCGGGAAAGAGCAATCGCTGATAGGAGAATGAGAAGAATGAGGAGGACAACACCGATGAAAGATCCAATCAAAGACCCGGAGATACGCTCACAGAAGGAGTTGAACTGTTGACAAATAGAAAACCAGTTTGTTTTGTTGTTCCCGTTGTGTGCTAAGTAGACAATGGCTGCTGCTGAGGATGCTCCAGCAGTTAAAAGACCCAACATTGCCTAACACAAGAGGAGAAATCAATCGTAAGCATAGGACTGTAAGCTTTTTTGTTTTATCTACATGGTTTATCTGCACAAAAGCTCGTATCTTTTTCTCAGGTTCTTTTGTTATTGCTGGTTTAACCGTTAAAAGCTATGAAACAGGACATGCTTAGTTTGCTGATGGCTTACCACATCAAGGATGATAAGAAGGATTCTACTGTTCTGAGTCTTGCTCTTGACGATGTGGATGAAGGCCAAAGCTAGAGACAAGATAAGGTAACCACTCACAACAGCATTTGCAACCACAAAGAACCTGATTGATCAACCAAACCAAAGGCAAAATCTCTATGAATCGATCCAGGTCATTTCCCTGAACACCGGAAAAACTGGTTTGAAAAAAGGTTTAAAAGAATCGAAATTACTTACGTTAAGGCTGGAAGATCGCTGTATTCGGCTCGGAACCGTATGAATTGAGTAAAGAAAGGAAGAGTTTCATTTGTGGTTCCCATGAGGATTGCACTACTTATGGTGTTGAAGAATGCAACAATCCTGAGTATAAACTCAAGAATCGCAATCCGTCTGCTCGTCAGACCGCTCTTTTGAATACCTTTGCTTATTTCCACGATTTCAGCCTGACCGGACTTCATTTTCTCTGTATTCCTTAAGTGTTTTATATATTTCTTGGGAAGGAAGTTAGGTTTCTCTTGAGTTTCTTGGAGGGAAAGAAATGAATGTTGATGAGGGTTAAGAGCAATGAGTGAGTGTATATATATTGCATGCTTTGGGACATATAGTGGTTATGATAAGGTCCTTATCGCAATTGTACTTGCTAAAGTTCTCAACCCTTTTTAGTATTATATAATTCTATAAACTTTACATAAACGATATGCACTATTTTATTTTTGTAATTTAGCATTGGTGTCCAGTCGCGGGGTCGGAACCCTAGACCAGACCTAATTTAGCCGAAGGTCAACGTGAAGCAAGATGGACCAAAATTAATTGTATTAGGAATCGAACACGGGCACATCAAAATCAGACAGGTCTATATGTGTTAAAGATATGCATTACAAAGTTATTAACCTTCATGATGCACAAACCCATATTAGAATCTAAAGTTTCCAGATTTAGGAAACATAAACTCTGTCCAAATTTGTATATCTTTAGCTCAATTAATTAGGAAACAAAAAAAATTGTTGCAAGACAATGTGGAGTAGTTGCAAATCATCTGTATAGTGATAAGATAAAATAATGGAATTGGTTATGTTCGAAGAAGATTAACAAACCCACTTTCTGTTTTAGATTACTTACAAAAAAAAAAAGGAAATCTCTAGATAAACTAAAGTTCCCAAATGATTGGAGATGCTGAAACCCAAATGGTTCTATGTGTCAAACACGTCTATTAAGGTTATCAATAAAATAGAGATATCCATCAAATCAAACCGAAGCAGGACACCTAAACCAATTGAAAATAGTTACAAAAGTATGTACATGCATCATGCATTGCATGCTTTTTGAATATGAAGATATGACTTTCAGCTTTTGAGTTGGCTTATATGTGTTGTATTTGTTCAATTAGATATTTTAAATCATAAAAGGTTGGAAAAAAATCATAAAATCAAAGTCAAATTGGAGCTAAGAAATGATAATACTAGTCATATTACGCAGAAGTTGACAAACAAAAAGAGTCAAATAAAAACACTCTGGCTCCTAGCTTCTATAAATGGCCCTCTAGTGAAGATAAAAATTACATGAAAAGGACACGGGTTTTCTCACATTTCTAAATTAGCCCCAAACTTTGAAAATCGAATCATCTCTTCCAAGCAAACCCATTTCCAGAGAGAAGCCTAGATAAGAATCCTTTACCATTTGTCTTCTTTTCTTTACAAGAGCTCATGTTACTAATCAGAGACCAATGAGTCTCAAAATCAATTTCATAGCCACACTTTTGCATCATTTCCATCATCTCTGAAGCTTTCACTGTATTGTTCTCTACTCGAAACCGATCAACCACACTCTTGAACATCTCTTGAGTCGGTGTTTCGCCTAACCCAACCATTGATTTGATTAGTCTTTCTGATTCCACAACTTGACATGTCGCGCAATGCTTAAGAACAAGACCACTCCATGTACTTAGGCTTGGCCTTAGACCTAGTTCCACCATTTCTGTATGAAAGTCCATTGCTTTATCCAATTGATTGCATCTCAGCAAGCCATCGATGACTGAATCATAACTCGTAGAATCAGGGATGTTTCGGTTCTTTAGCATTGTGTTCAAGAGATGTACCGCAATGTCAAGATTCCCACGTTCAGATAGTTTCTTGATTAGATTACCGTAACTGGGAGCCAGCATGCCATTGTGTGTCACACGGATCAGAAAGTCTTTAGCTTTTGATATATCGCCTTTTGAAATTAGGGATTCAACGATTTTGGTTTGGGCAACTGAAGAACCAAATATCCAGCCTTTTGATTCCATTACCTGAAACAAGTCCAGAGCTTTCATCACATCTCCACTGTCACACAAAGAGCTTATAACCGCTCTTAAGCTTCGATTGTCCGGTTTCATCCCATCGGAGATCATAGCCGACATCTCCTGCAGAGAACTTGAATGATCTCCGCACGAAGAGTAACCATGTACAAGAAAATTAAACGTTGTTTCATCAGGCAACAATCCCCTTCCCCGCATTTCGAGCAAGACTTTATTAACCTCTAAGCAATTCTTAGCCCGAAACAGATAGAAAATCAGTAGATTATACATGATTACACCACTAGGATTGCTTTCTCCTACCAAAAGAATTTCCTTCAGACTAACTGCAGAGAGAAACTGACGCTCTAAACACATTTTCCGAATATATTCTCTATAACTTGTAAACGAACAGATTATGTTCTTCCTCACCAAGATTCCCAGTACTTCCTCAACTTTCCTCAAGTTGTTACCTTTACAATAACCATGAAACAGCAAATCGAAGATATCGTTATCAGATACAAACCCGCTTGATAACACTAACCGTAACTGATTTTCAGCGTCCACCATCATCCCAGCTAAGCATAGGCCTTCTATCAAAGCATAGTAGACAGAAGATGAATCAGATTGCTCTGCTACAGCAAATGCCTTTTCTGTTTTGTTAGCTGCACAAAGCCGAGGAATTAACATCAAACAACTTTCCAAGTTCGGAAGGTAATTCTTGCCTGGCATTTCGTTGAGTATCGCAAATGCAGCTGAAACATTCTTATCCTTACAGAGTCCTGTGATAAGATGATTGTACACCTCTTGTTCCACGATGTAACCCTCTCCTTCAAGTCCATTAATAACAGAATGAGCGATACGAGAAAACCCAAGAACTGTGAACTTCTCAACAAAAGTCCTACACGCTTCTGACTGTGATAGAGGATAAGAAACCAATATACGCTCAAAGAGTTTAACCGCTTCCCCCACCAGTCCTTTCCGGACAAGACATTCCCATAGATCTCCGCAACTTTTCAAATCAGGTAACCAGTTAACATTTTGGGCAGTGTCCCACATATTTAGGAGATCATTGAGTGTTTCTTTCTTACAGAAACAACTTATCAAAGATGAGTAAGTTGTGTTATCGATAGGAAGGTGCATCTGGACCATTCTATGGAAAATGAGTTTGCTTTGACAACTGAATCCCTTCTTGCAATATTCTTGGACAAGAAAGTTAAGGGTTTCTCCATCTAACTGATTAGCCAGCTTTGGCCATTTTCCCAATAGGCTAACACTTATTCTGACATGGGAACGCGATGTGCAGAGACTCTTCAATAAAACAGAAAAACCCTGACGCGATAGTTTTTGGCCCCATCGAGCCATTTCATCAAGAAGCCCCAAAGCTCTTTGTAAATCGCTGTCCTTACATGCTCTAATGATTAGTAAATTAAATTCCGGTAGCACGGACCTGTCTAGTACCATATTCACCCTCTGCTCGTAAGCCTCCAACTCAGTGTCCAAGTATAGCCCATTCCCAAGATCATCGAAGAACTCTGCCTTGGAGGATCCAGAATTGTTGTCTCTTTTCAATCTAACAGCTAACGGATCAAATCCTACTAATCTAAAAGCTTCCGAAAGCGGATCTTCAACTTTAGATGTTTCAATTAACCCAAGACCAATCATCTCGTTAACAATCTTCTTAGCCTCTTCAAATTGTCTAGCTTTACAGTATCCAGTTACCATTATCTTAAACGTAGACAAGCTGAAGAACACTCCATTTTCCTTCATCTCATCCAAAATACAACGGGTGTGTTGCCACAATCCTTTTCTAAAAAGCCCACTTAAGATAGCATCATAACTATACACATCAGGTTTTAAACCCTTTGACGTAATCTCGGATAAATACAGAAATGCTGTTTTGACATCTCCTTCATGACAACACCAACCAATCAAGATACCAAAGGTGGCTTCATCGGGTTTAAAACCCAAGTGTTCAAGCTCCTTCATATATACATACGCTCTCTCTGAGCCAAACCTCCTGCAGAGAGAATGCACAATCCTATTGCCAACAAAAACATCAGGTTCATATTTAACTTCCCCAATGAAACTCAACAAATCCTCAAAGTCCTGCTTCTCGCAGTATCCTAAAGCAATCTTACTATATATTGAGCTATTCAGGTTACAACCTAAAGCAACAAGCTTTCTCGCCAGGACTCTAGCCTCCTGAACCCTCTGGTCCAAGCAAAGCAACTCGATAACTTTCCCGATTTTATCTACGTTCACATTGTTTGATTCATCTGTTGTCTCCACCCAATCCAAACAAATTCTATATGCTGATTCCGTTCTGTGAACTCTAACCAAATGATCAATTAGAGCCTGGTAACATGATGTTAAGGGGACTGAACCCTTACCCCTCATCCAATCGAACAGCAAAACCGCCTTCCTGGAATCGAAACCATCGCCATATTTTTCAATCAACTCACAGAAAATTCCCTCATTATGCAAGTTAACTCCATTGCTTTCCATTTCCATAAGCAACGATTCAACTTCCTTAGCCATTCCCTCCCTAATAAGCATCGATGCCATAATCTCACAAGCCTGAGGAAAATGCTTAAACCCTTTGTATTGCCCACTAGCCCACCTGAAAACCTCCCATAAAGCTCGAACCTTTCTACTATCAATTCCACCTCTCTGAAGCTCAGATTCAAAACCCAGTAACAATTCAAGCACATTATCGGGTTTCAATCCAGGAAATCTTCTGAATCTACGGGTAATATTGGGAACCACATCGGACAATTCCAAAAGCAAGTCTTTCAGAGAAGATCCCTCAAAGCCACGGCTCTCCTTCTCTGTCCAACCAAGAGACAACGAAATCCGATCCAATTTACCAACGTGGAGTAGCGAGAAGGCTTCATAATTTCTTGGGAAAGTTGAATCATTTCCCAAGGAAGAAGAAGACGAAGTGGACGAGATAGTAGAGAAAAACGCGAAAGAGTAACGACATGAGAGATAAGTAACCTTGTTAAGAGCACGAAGCCGAGTAGAGATAGTGAAGGAGAGAAGATTAAGCATGCGATTGCAGGAATTAATGGAAGTCTATATGCCTTCTTCTTCTTATTCATTTGTTGCATTCAAGCTCCACGAAGGTGAACGACGAAAGGAAGGTAAAAGAACTAAAGAACCACTAAACGACACCGTTCGCATGATTGTAATGGTATTTTCGGTACTTTATATTAAAAATCATTTTAATTAGCCCAATTTGATTCATAAACAGGTGTATTTGGACTTTGGAGCGTCAAACAAAATTCTAGACTATCACCACACTCGTCCAAATATGGGAAATTATTTTCGCGAATGGAAAAAGGAGAAAAGAACAAAATATATATATACAGTGTTATTGATCCAAATAATTTTACAAACACACATTGTTTCAATAGTGCTAAGAACTTAAAAACATCATTTCTTCTACCAATTTAACTCATCGTCATGTAACATTCTATTTCTAACTACTACGGCAGTGACCGCGCCGAGATAAGCAACAAAACCAGACAGTCGTCGGCACTAAACCGAACTGTCTTCCGAGTGTTCACTCACCGTGCAAACTTATGGCGAGATGAAGCTACCAACAATCTAATGATCAAAAGGTTAGAGGAAGGTTGGATTCCTCCAACGGCGAGGATCTTCCAAAGATAGCAACCTGTCTGGCAGAGAAACAAATGTGCAAAGAAACAACACAGAAAG